CTATTAATAACTTAACCATTGGATAAATTTCCTTCTCTTTGTGCCACTAAACCCAACTTTCTCTTCATTTTTCTCTTTCTTCCCTTATTAATGTGCACATTTTACAGTCTTCTGTTGTTTCTTGTTACCCAGCAATTATCACATAGTCCTTCCAATAAAAGGCTAATACTAATGTATACTTTTACACATACCTTACATACTACAAATGCTTGAAATATTTTACTTTGGCCCTCTTAATTCATGTTGTATGTGTTAGACAATATTATTATTTATAGGGTACTGACAATTTTATATACATTTATACAAACATTTGTTCCTTTTAATTGCTGCTTTTCCATTTCCAGTTTTCCATTTCAGATAATTTTCCTTTTATGTGAGAAATACTATCTACTATTTCCTTTATGTTTCATACTTCCATTCTTAGAAGAAGACAGTAATCCATTTAACTTGTATCTTTTGAAACATAAGCTTTCTTCTGGCTACTTTAAAATTTTCTCTTTTCCTTTGATTATCTGTTAATTAACTGTCTGAGTTTCCCCCAAGCCCTTCTATGTAGGATATGTTGTGAGATCCACAGTGACTGAATGAGTGACTGAAACTTGATAGTACTAAATCCTATAATTTAATGCTTTTCTCTATAATTTAACTAATACCTTACCATGTTCTGTGGCCATAGATTTGTAGTTTGAGGTCCAATAGCAATGCTAGCATGAACTTTTTTCTTTTCTCAAAATTGCATGGATAAAAGATTAATTCTTACTATAGGTATTAGCAAACTAATAGCATGTTTTTTTTATTTTTTAAGAACTAATACAATTTTGATTTTTTTAAAAAAAAGGTACTGTAAATGGGGCACTGGTGACTCACACCTGTAATCCTAGCCACTCAGGAGGCTGAGATCTGAAGATCACAGTTCAAAGCCAGCCCAGGCAGGAAAATCTATGAGACTCTTATCTCCACCAGAAAACTGGAAGTGGCACTGTGGCTCAAAGTGGTAGAGAACAAGCCTTGAGCGAAAAATCTCAGGGTCAGTGCGTAGGCCCTGATTTCAAGTCCCATGACCGAGAAAACAAAGACATACAGTAGTATGTCTTTTCTGTAACATATCTTAATTGCCAGCTTCAGACCTTTGTGATTTGGGGATTCCTATTAAATAAAATAATAATTACTTGAACACAAATACTACAATACCACAACAAGCTTATAATTAAAGTAATCAAAACTAAATGACCAACAGGTAGGTAGCACATATAGTGCAGATATGTTACATAAGAGGATGAATAGGACAACATAAGTTTTCATCATGTTACTCTGAACGGCATGTGATTTCTATTATTATTATTATTTGTGCCAGTCCTGGGGCTTGAACTCAGGGATTGGGTGCTGTCCTTGAGCACTTTTTCCTCAGGGCTAGTGCTATACCACTTAAGCTACAATTCTACTTCTTGCTTTTGGGATGGTTAATTGGAGATAAGAGTCTCTTGGACACTCTTGCCCCAGCTGGCTTCAAACCACCATCCTCAGATCTTAGTCTCTTGAATAGCAGGATTACAGACGTGAGTCAAAATTGCCTGGCACAAATATGAATTATTCATGAAATTTTCCCTTTCAATATTTCTGGACTATAGTTGTCCACGGGTAACTGAAAATACAAAATATGAAACTATGGATAGAGAAGACTGGTGTATTATAAATATTGGTGTAAGTTTGTTTTTATAGATTCTGTTTGTGGTTTGTTGGAATTCTTGTATCTATGGATCAGTGCCTTTCATCAGTTATAAAATATCTTCAGTCATTACATTTTCAGAGATTGCTTCTGAACAATTGTATTTATCTTCTGAAAGTGCAAATAAACATGTTAGAACTTGTCACTTTTTCTATTGTATCTTACATCCTCCCTTATATATTTTCCATCTTTTTTACACCTTATGGAGACTTACACTTTCATCTGAGCATAAGTTTTAGTCCTTCTTTTAATTCTCTTTCAAGCTTTTTAAAAGCTTACTATTTACCTAAATTACTTTCTAGTTCACTTAATAAAACAGCTTCCATTTGATTTTTTTCATGTTTCTTGCTTCTATTTCCCTGTTGGAATCTTCAAGATTATTTTATTTACCTGAATACACTAATCATAATGGTTTAACAGTCTGTATCAGTAATTCAAATCATTTAAATCTGACAGGTCTGTCCATGTTTCCTATTACCTACTACTTTGTACTCATGCCATATTTCTTTCTTGTGCTTCTCCTATCTTCGTGGATACTGAACCTGAACAATTGTTTATTGGAATAATTTGAGATCTAGGATGATTGAATCTTACTCCAGAGATTTCGTTTGCTTTGGCTGTTTTTATAATGATACTTCTTGCCTGGAAAGCATAAATTAGGAAAGCTAACAGTTTCAGGTATATGAACTTACTATATCCTCTCTAATTCAAACTAGTGTGTGAAAAGTAAACACATCAAGGACAAAGAATGGAAATCCCAGAAAGTTTCCCAAGTACATATAGAAAGTTAGTATGTAATAAAGGTGGAATCTCACATGACTGAGACAAAGATGGGCTTTTTAACAAATAACACTGGAGTAATACAAAGACAATTGGGGGAGAAAAAAATCTAGCTTCTTACACTGAGATCCATACTTCACATTATACACAAGTATAAACTTGAAATGTAGACAAGTAAAACCAATGTATACTAGAAGAAAATATGGGTGAATTATTTGGCCACAAGTAGGAAAGGGTGTCTTTATTATTAAAATCCAGAGGCAGCAAAAGTTTGATAAATTTGGCATTTTTAATACATGGCAGAAAACTGTCATAAAGTTAAAAAAATGGCAAAACTGCAAGAAAAGATTTGCAACATATGCTAAGTAGATAAAGGCATAATAAAGTTCACCTTTGAAGAACATTTAAAACCCTCACTAGAAAAATGTGCAAAAGACACAATCAATTCCCAAAATAAAATAAAATCCTACATATACAGAAAGTGAAACAAAACATCATTTACATACTACCTCCCAACTTATCATGTTAGTGAAAATTTAAAAGTATGTTGCATGTTATGTTGGAAAGAATTAGGGAGCACTCACCTGTTATTACTGGTGGGAAAACAAAAGGGGTCTGAGATTTGGGGAATGAGTAGCCTGGGGATGTAGTGTGAGGAGTCATTCAGGTTAAGAGGCAAAAGAATGCTATTTACAGGGGTGTCAGAACTTATGAACTGAGAATGTCCAGAACATAACCTTGTAGAATTCTACCTTTCAGGTAAGCAGCTCCTTTCCCTGATAGGCATTCCCATCAACCTCTGCAGTGAGGCTGAACTTGGTTTGCTGTGTTTCAGGTCTTTTTTTTTTTAATTTTTAGATAGGATCTTGCTAAAAGGCCCAGGCTGAACTCGAACTACCCATTCTTCTATCTGACCTCCCAAATTGCTGGGATTACAGGCCTGAGCCACATTGCTCAGAGTTGGTTTTAAAAGTTGGTTGTGCATTTTGGGAAAGTTGAGTACCCTCTCTGATCGGATGTCACACCTGTAATGGGCACCTAAGAGGGTTGCACCGTTTCTGTGAGCCATGCCAGGTAAAGCACCTGGGGTCAGAAAGCCCCAATTCTCTGTAACTCTTGGCTTTAACACTACATGCGCGTGTGCGTGTGCACACACACACACACACACACCACCACCACCACCACCACCACCACCACCATCACCACACCACATTACACCTACAGCCTGTGTCTTCTTGGTCCTTTGGGGATGGGGTTGAGATGGGTCAGGAGTGGGGCGGGGGAGGCGATCGAGGGTGACGCGACACTCACGTGACCGGCCAGGCGCCGACGTGGGCACCAGCCCCGCGCCCGCCCTACTGTCCAGTCCTGGTGCCCGCGCGCAACCAGCTAGCTCACTGAACAGCTTGGGCTGCAGGCAAGCGGCGAGCGGGCTTCTGCGAGCCCGCGGAGACGCAGGCCTGTCCTGAGTCCACTCAGGTTAGTGTGGAGGTGGACGCTGCCAGCTGACCCAGGTCAGGGGTGGAGGTGGATGGCAGCTGGATGCAGGAGCAGCAGCTGCTGCAACCGGGTGGGGAAGGAATCAGCCAGACTGGTGAGGAGAGGGGCACTGAGCGGGCAGGGCAGCTGCGGAGGGGTGACAGGGCGGGAAGGCGAACCCTGCGGAGGCTCAGCTGCCTTGCCCACCCCCACCCCTCCATCCATTTTAGAGTAGGCAAGGGGGTGGGGGGTGCGCCCTGCAGTGCGACGGTGAAAACGTAGACGCGTTCTGGAAACAACCCCCCTCCCCTCGCGCTCTGCGCCTGCCCAAGAAGACAAATTGATCCCAACCCAAAGGCAGTGGGGGCGGGGCAAGGCGCCTCTGGGGAGGGAGGGGACACAGATCCAGAGGTAGTTTGGAAAGCATCCTGGTTTGGAGCCCAGGGCCTGAGAAGAAATGGCGGCTGGGGTGCGCTGGTGGGGGCTGAGGGTGGATGGAGGGGAGCAGAGGGAAAGCTCGGTGAGCAGGGTCCGGATTCTGGAGAGGAACCTGGTCCAAGTGTCCCGTCTGTCTGTCTGCAGGTCTGCGCGTCTGCTGTTCCCTGCGCTGTGCCAGGCCTGAAAAGGAGGCACAACCTGTCCTGATCTCTGCAGGTCAGTGGAAGGTGGCAGCATGGACAGGGACTCCGGAGGGCTGAGAGTACGGAGGGCCTGGCCAGGGCAGGATGTGGGTTTCGCTGCTTGTCCCCGACCCCCACCTGTAATGCACACACCTAGCTGTACTGAGGGAGCAAGGAGAGGGCAGCAGGGCCAGACAGCCTGGGAATGGTTGGCTCGTGTGGGGGGAGGGAAAATGTGGGTTAGGGGCAGGTAGGAGGGCACTTGGAGACCCCCATTGGGACGAGATACACAGATTATCTGAACCCTTTTCCACGCTGGAGGAGCCCTCACTCTTCGTGTCTCCTCTTCCCTCACCCCTACCCTCCAGGTCAGGAAAAGGAGGCGCCATGGCGACATGGAGAAACTCCCTAGCGAAAACGAGGGCAAGCTGGACAAGGAGGGAAAGTCAGACGATGAAGTAGAACCTGAGGCTGAAGGAAAGTCGGAGGAAGAAGGGAATCAAGAAGAGGAGGGGAAGGCAGCACGGGAGGGCCAGCTGGAGGGTGAGGGAGGGCCAAAGAAGGAGGGCCACCCCCGGGATGAGGACAAGTCAGGGAAGCAGGGAAAGTCGTCAGAAGATGAGGGCCAGCCACCAGGTGAGGGCAAGGCAGAGCCCCAGGCCAAGGCAGCCAGCGAGACATGCGCAGCTGAAAAGCGTCCGGCTGAAGATTACGTGCCCCGGAAAGCAAAAAGAAAAACCGACCGCGGGACCACGGATGACTCTCCCAAGAACTCTCGGGAGGACTTACAGGACAGGCATCTGAGCAGTGAGGAGATGATGAGAGAGTGTGCTGATATGTCCAGGGCTCAGGAAGAGCTAAGGAAAAAACAGAAAATGGGAGGATGTCACTGGATGCAGAGAGATGTGCAGGATGCATTCGCCCCAAGGGGCCAACGGGGTGTCAGGGGAGTGAGGGGCGGAGGAAGAGGCCAAAGAGGTTTACACGATATCCCCTACCTTTAACGCCCTTGGCCTTAGATTCTGACTTCTCTGATGAGAACTTTGCACACCCTGCTTTTCCTGGTAGATAAGCTCCAGGTCCTGTGCTTTTAACCTTATGCTGATACTTTGCATTAGGTGTCACTGTCCTTACCAGCAGCCTTTTGACTCAAATACAGTGCTCTCTCTTTTAGTACTGGATTTTCACCCATGCATGTACATTGTAAAATAACAATAAAAAACAGTTCACCAAACTGCATATATGGTATCAGCCTATTTTTATCAAAATGTAACTATGTTTACACAATACATTTGTACATAGAGAAAACAAACTGTATAAAACCTCAGCAATGGTCATTCCTACTCCATGACCAAAAATAGATCTCTCCTGTACTGAAAAGTAAGTCTGACAACCTGACAGAATCATTGTTCTATACCATTCTCCTGTTGTGTGCCCATCCAGAGCTTCCCTGGGTGTGACCTGATCAGTAGGCGTTGCTACCATTTCTTTTGAATCTGTTACTGCCCAGTGGCTCCTCTGTGTCACATTTTTGGCTTTCCCTCTCTGTCTGTCTGTCAGCGGTGAACCTTGAACTCAGGGGGTCAAGGTGAGGTCCCTGAGCTCTTTTGATAAAGGGTAGTGCTCTACCACTTTGAGCCACAGCACCACTTCTGGTTTTTGAGTGGTTAACTGGAGATAAGAGTCTCATGGGGACTTTTCTGCCCAGGTAGCTTCATACTGCAATCCTCAGATCTCAGCTTCTTGAGTAGCTAGGATTACAGGCATGAGCCACCAGCACTGGGTTTTTTTTCCCTCTCTCTCTCCTGTCCCCACTTTTTCCTAAACAATATGGATTATGTTTGCCATGATAAAAATTTTTCAAAACTAAAACCAGAAAATAATACATAAAAAGCAATTGCTTAGTTAAATGTTCTTAGGAGAGCTGAAAACATTTCTATTGTCAGAATGTGTCACAAGTAAAATTCACATTACCTCTGGGACCTATAGCTGACAAAGTTAACTTAGTACTTAACCACTGTTTTGAGGGTCAGTCTTATTATCTATAAAATGGGAATAATAATAACCTCATAGGACTGCCTGGTGTATCAGATAACATGCCAACAATGTGATATGTACTAAGTTGGCTCCCTGGCAGTAGCAAAACCCTGGCCAGTCTGAAACACCTGGTTGGGGATGGGGGCGGGATTGAAGGGGTAGTTCTCACATGTGCCCAGATATAAGTTTACGTAGCTGAGAAGCAGTGTCACTCTACTCCAGACGCTACCACATCTGGTGAACATTCCTGTCCTACTGTACCGTCTACTTACACTCCCTGTTAACAACCCCTCTTCTATTGGAGTCCTGTTGGTGATAAGACCCTCTACTTCTATATAGTCCACATAAGGCCAAAGACCCTATTTGGCCCCTATAAGGAGTATACATAAAGCTTTTCTCCTTGCTGCAGAGTTGGGTGACATTTTGGATTTCAGAACATATATATTCAATGGCTAAAAACTATGCAAACCATGCAAAATTCGAAAGAACTCTGAAACATTTCTGATTCTAATTTTCTCACAAATAAAATATAAAGTTCTCTGCCTGTGCTCACCTCACAAAAGAGCTGAGTGAGTTTTTTGTTCTAATTTTTTAAAAGATTATCTCAATTAATTTTCCAAAAGAGACTCACCCTTCCAATGTAAGAGAAGAAAAGTTTAAGAGTGCAGTGTCCAGGAAGGAGAAATCTCTGCTACTCAGTTTTCCCATACTCTCAGAAGCATTGTCTGTCAGCAGGGGCTTACTCTGAAGAGGGAGTATGAGAGCGATCAGTCCCATCCTTCACTGTTGAAACAGCAGCTCACAGAATGTATTAGAAGAAACAGGGATTCAGAGCTCCCTCAGGATGGATGCTGTAACCAAGATTCTGTCTGTTTTTATCAATTGGAAAGCTCTTGAGATCTAAAGGCATATCATATCATTTGCTCCCTAAATAGTTCATATCTGTTAATTCATGTAATAAATATACCCACGAAGGGCATCTACTATAGAGGAAACTCTCAATAATTAGGAATTCAAAGTGAACATCTTTGCAGATATCATTCACCCTCTCCCTAATCCCTCTGTATCCCTGTGTTTTCTCAATGGTCCCAAGTACAAAATGGCTGTGAAATTGATCAAAAGTTTTGACTTCCTTTACCTCTCTATCAGATGACAATTGAGTTGGGAATCTGCCAATAGCCTGGGCCAAGGATGAGTCCCTAATGTGGTACCATGTCCAGAGGGAAGGTAGATTATAATGGTTTTCTGTGAGTAAGGAGAAGTAATACTTTGACCTTAAATGGAAACTGTTCAACTTTCAAAATAGCCTGGAACACTTCTTAAACTTATTAATCATGAGTGTTAGGGTTTAATTCTATATTCTTACTTCTGTCTCATTGATCTATATGTCTATGCTTAAAACCAGTGCCACACTGCTTTGATTACTACAGTTTTAAAGGAAGTTTGAAAATCGGGAAATTTGGGCCACTAAATTTCTTCTCTTTTTTTCAGTATTGTTTTGGCTATTCTGGGTACTTGAATGTCAACATGAACTTTGGGACAAATCCATAATTTTCTGCAATGATGTCAGTTTAAAATTTGATAGGGATGAAAGTAAATCTGTAGGCTCATTTGCAGAGTGATACCACCCTAACAATATCATTTTCCAGTTCAGAAACCCAGTGTGCTTTTATGTTTAATTTTTCTTTAGTTTCTTAATTTTTCTTTTCATTTTTGGCACACAATTCTTATATTCCTTTAGTTAAATTTATTACTTTTTTCTTTTCTTTTTTTTGTGGTGCTTGGGATCAAGTCCTAGAGCCTATTACTTGCTGTGCAAGTGCTATTCCACTGAACTATTTACCTTACCTATTTTATTCTTTTTTTAATTTAATTTAATTTTTTTGTGAACATACTGTACAGAGGGGTTACAGTTACATGGGCAGGATAATGCGTACATTTCTTATCAAGCATTGCAGCCTCCTCCTTTGTTTACCCTTCACATCCCTTCCCAGCCTCCCTCCCCACCCCCAACCCAATCCTCCCCCTTACCTATTTTATTCGTGTGTGTGTGTGTGTGTGTGTGTGTGTGTGTGTGTGTGTGTTAGTCCTGAGGCTTGAACTAAGGACCTAAATGCTGCCCCTGAGCTTCTTTTGCTCAAAGCTAACACCCTACCACTTGAGTCACAGTTCCACTTCTGGATTTTTGGTGGCTAGAAATAAGAGTCTCAGGAAAGGGTCCAGGCTGGTGTCTAATTAAGATTCTCATATCTCAGCCTCCTGAGTAACTAGGATTACAGACATGAGACATCAGTGCCTGGCCATTTGACATTTTTGATTATATGTAAATGGAATCATTTTCCTAATTTTAGTTTTGGATAATTCATTGCTACTTCATAGAAATGCAATTCATTTTGATATTGTATTCTGTAACCTTCCTGAATGTAGTTATTAGTTCTCAAAGCTTTTGAAGTGTGGATACACGAGAAATACTATATACAAAATCATTTTAACTGTGAATAAAGGTAAATTTACTTTTGTTGTTGTTGTTCGTGGTGGTGGTCATCATAGGGCTTGAACTCAGAGCCTGGGCATTGTCCCTGAATTGTTTTTTTGCTAGCATTATACCACACTAAGCCATAGTGCCACTTCCAACCTTCTGGTGGTTACTTGGAGATAATAGTCTCATGGACTTTCCTGCCTGGGCTGGCTTCAAACTATGATCCTCAGCTCAGCGACCTGAGTAGCTAGTATTACAGGCATGAGCCACTTGGTGCCCGACTTAGATTTACTACTTTATTCCAATTTGAACATCTTTTATTTCTTCTTTTTGTCTAATTGTCCTATTTAGAATCTCTAGTACAACATTAAATAAAATTCAAGAAACAAAATATCCTTACTTTGCTAATGATCTCAGCAAAAACATTTAGTTTTTCATTATAACTGTAATCTATACATTATATCTGTGTATATTCTTAACTTTTCTAATTAACCAGCAAAAAGCTGCTGGCTTGGAGGAATGGCTCAAGTGGTATAGTGCTAGCCATAAGCAAGCAAGCTGAATGAGGGCATAAGGCCTGAATTCAAGCCCCAGTACCAGAAAAAAAATGTCTATTTCATCTAGGTTATCTAATTTGTTGCTAAATTAAAAAAAACTACTGTGTGGCCAATCAGCAAAGATGCCAGGATATAAAATGAAATTCAAATTTGCACTTGACCAGGCAGAAGTGTGGGTTGCCATAAGCATTCTATTTACAGCTGACATCTGAAGGGTGGGGAGTCTTGGGAAACTGAACTTTTAACCTTTGTGCTCTGTCCTAACTCTGAGGTGTTGATGTTGAAAGCCTGCACTGGCCTACTGCCCAATTTGCATAAAACCAGTACTATGACACTAGGTTTATGCTAAAATAAAAACCTTTGCATGGTCCACCAACAAGAGCTAAAATAAAGTTCCAATTTCTCTTCTTTGGTCACTTGGTACTGGGGGAACTTATAGGAAGGGAGAGGGGAAAATTTGTTAACTAAATGCTGAAAAGAGAGAATTCTAGAGTATATTTGAGCAGGCATAGACAGATTGTCATGCAGTTACCATCTTCTGCCCCAGGGAATTTGGGGCTTCTGACATCAGATGAGATAGTTGCTTTTCCACATATTGATTCTTTCAAAGCCTGTTCCAAACCATCCTTAAATGGATGCTGGAGACATTTCCTGAAAGACAACTGAAGATTATTATGTGAGGAATTTACGTTCAAATGTACCCAGGCCCTAACTAATTTCAGTATCAGAATTGAAGAGAATTATAGCAATCTAGAGAATTGATTAGTGTTGCAAAACACTATTAGGGGTCAGTAGTGCCAGAAAATGCCACACATGTTGAAAGGTAATTGAGAAGACACCAGAGACATCAGAGATACAGGCTAAGCAATAGTTCTGTTAGATTTGCCACAGGCCACTTTAGTAAGCTAGGAGAACATCTCCTGAAATCAGAACAGATCTCCAGCTGTGGAACAATTTATGCTCCAAGACATAGTTAAAAACAATAGAGCCGGGTGCCTGTGGCTCATGCCGGTAATCCTAGCTACTCAGGAGCCTGAGATCTGAGGATAGC